GCCATCTGCTCGATATACGCTGCATGCCGGGCACTCGACCAAGGCAAGGGGCAGTGTTGCTCGAGCAGCCGTCCCCGGGTTCTTCGAGACACAGCTTGCATTCACATAGACAAACATTCCGCGGCCAGTCGTTGAAGGCCACTTGACCCGAGCGCCCTGTAACGGACGCGAGCCAACTTGTGGCCAGCGCACCACTGCCGCTAATAGCGGACCGATGCCACCCTCCAATAGCTTCCAGTTTTAGCGCATTATCCACTAACATGGCATGTCCATCATGTCGTCCGACAGCCACCACGGCTCACCGCGAATCCCACCGTTTTTCGGTGCGCAGACACCCAATTCAGATGTGAGACAAGGTGTTTCCATTCATCAAGGCAGCCATAACATATGAGAGATCGGGTCTATGCGCAATGCGCGTGTTCTAATGCCCTGCACTGGTACATTCTCCAGTACACCCCCTCGGAACAAGCGGAACCACGAATCCACGGTATCTCGGTGAGGTCAGTGTATCCGGAACTGTGTTAACCCATGCCAGCCGTCGGTCAGCCCACGACTTTGTGAGAGGTGGGCACGGTGTGGGAGACCAGCACGTCGCCGAGGAGATCTTCCCGACGTTCTACGCAAGAAGATGTGTTTGGCGGGAAAATGTTGAACATGAGGAGTGCACGGCATATGCAGCCACAGTGTTTCCCACTTCTTACAGAACCTCGTGCCAGAAGTTGCCTTCGGTTCTATTCGCAGTCAGTGGCTCGATGCTGGTGTTACGAAGTCTCAAGGAAGCTTTTGAAGGAAACCTTTGCACCTTTGCACGATTACAAGCACGGGAGAGTCCTTGCTTCCGTGCCCTTCCTCCGGTTGGCAAATGCCTATCCTTTCCTTCTTCCACCCCACCTTTTGTGCTTCCACCACGAAGACCGACCAGGGGGGAAAATGCATGCACTCTAACAGTTCTGGGTGTGTGAGCCCAACCCATCATGTTTCGATGGAGGTGTGACAGGACCAGGGGCTACTAGCGCCATCCCAACGACGCCCAGAAGCAGCAAGCCCACCTTCACGAATCTCCAGTAACATCCCAGCATCCCAAACACATCCCGGTCGCAACCATACATCACTGTTGCCCAAGTGGGTAGAGAGCCTCGCCAGGGTTTACTGGTTGATGTGAATACAAAGACACAACGCTCGCCCTCTCTCACCTTAACACGTCTATCCTTTCTCCTCTGGTGATATTTCTGAAACCTACGCTTCACCCATAGCGATTCTCCTTCTTGTCTCTCCAACTTACTCGCCTTGTTTTTATGCCAGTGTCGATCTTGACTACCTCAACTATACCATCATCAGCATAGCTGGGAACTTTGTGCTCTCATACCATCTCCAACCACAGCTGGTTCCGAGTCTGTTCGTGTACTGGGACAGATCGGCGCCGGCTGAAGGCACAGACTACTCTTCGTTTGTATCGTTTGCAGATTCGCAAGGGTCACGGTTAGGGTGGAGTGTGTGGGCTTGCAATAGGAGTGTAGACGACCACTTAGCCGTCGTAGCCGGGCCACGTCTCCCTCCTTTGCTGTCCGCAGACTGGCTACAGCTTGCGGTTGCTCGATTCCTATCGGTGCCTAGTATCAAGCATACTGTTGTCTGTGTCACGGGGGCTGTTGAGGGTTCAGCATTGTCATCCAGATAGACAGCTCGGCATCTTGTTCTCGCCAACGACATTGACGGTACACTTGCCCAGGTATCTATTATCAGGGTGACCTATACTACACCTAAAGATCATCTGAACGGCATTCCATCATGACTCATCAGGTTTCAGAGAATGCGCGACTGAGGGCAGAGAACGAACACCTTAAGCGCATGCTTTCTCAGGCGAACAACCCTGATCTCCACCGAAACACGGGCGACTTTCAGCTCTCCGCCTCTCCAGCTCTCTGCTCAGCTTCTCATGGCCATGCTACCGTGCCCCGATCCACCAGCATCCCACAGCTTCCGGCATCACAACCGAGTCATCGACAACCTGTAAGTCGATGTCTGGACCTTTTTGTTTGGGATTGG